TACTTTCTGAGCAGTGTTCAGCTTCCACGCCCATAGTGTGCTTGCAAATGGCTTTCTTAGGGACATGGAAAGTTAACACATGAAACTTTCGAAGCAAGTTGGTGTTTGGAAAGTCTATAGGAAACCAGTGACCAAAGCTAGCACATCGGACCACAAGGAAGGCTACCTCATGGTGACAGAGAGGAGTACTGGGTGAGTACAGCTGGAGACAGTGTGAAAGTTTTGTCAAAAATGTTGACACCTTGTTTATGCTTCTTTGATCACTGAAAACTTTATGTTCTCCATTTTGAAGATTCACTCTGAGTGGTTTTAAACAATTTACAATTTTTCCCACGTTTTCAGGGTGGAGAATTTTGGCAACATCATTACCAACCAGAGCCCCTTTATGATACACTTGCCTCTTTAAATTCATCCTTTCTAGTACACCATCCAATCTCCTTTGGAAAGGCCCTTTCAAATTATGTATTTTGGCAACTATGGTAGTCAATTGCTCCTTGGCTGCTTTCAACTGGTCTTGATGTTGTTTTGCCTGGTGTTGTTGTTCATCCCTGCCCTTTTTAAACTCTTGTGCTGTTTCTCTTGCTTTACAGCTTCCACTGTGACCTACACAACCCAGTTCATGTTAGTGTGGTGAAATCTGGTTTAGGTGATGGAAGAGCATGTTAAATTTAAACGGCAAAGGTGTTGCCCTGGTGGTGGAACAAGTGAAAAAGACTGTCACTGTTGTAGAAGTAGAGCGGAAGATCACTTCAAAGCCTTCCAACCTTAAAACAAAGAAGTCACTCCAGGATCCACTCCAGTGCAGAGGACTGCCACATCAAGGTACTAAACTGGAGCTTAAAGAACAACTTCAAACTTCTCTTGCATAACTGAGGGAGGACTATGAAAAGTCAGGGAAAGTATCTACTGCTGTAAACATGGACAAGAAGGTGACTGCAGACAGCATTTGTCTTGTATTTGTTGATACGATAACAATGGCGTCGAACAGTGACTCTTGTTTGTAACTTGTGGATCTAACACTGAACGGTGTTGGGATCACTGGAGCTGTCAAGGAATTTTCCTGATATCCCAGTGACTGCAAGTCCATGTATGCCATGTTGATTTCTAATCGAACACTTGTCATTTTGAATGACAAGGGCATAGCTAAGATTGATATGGCAACACGAGAACAGACCATTCTACTGTCAAATGGCACTCCCTCTTGTAAAGAAGTACGAGGCATTGCTCCTTTCGGGGATTAGGGAGAGACTCTTTACAGATATGGGGAGAAGGCAGATAAAGAAGGTTTCTTCAAATGGGACCATTCAAATCATTGCAGGCTCAGGAGAGGAAGGCAACAACGATGGCACTCGGGCCTCATTTTCCCAGCCTATGGGTATTTGCGTGGAGAATGAGAAGAATATTTTTATCACTGATGCACAGGTTGGAGCAGTAAAGTTAATAGCAGATGTTGGATGTGTAGTGAAATTTCTGGAAAACCTTGGAAAACTGTACCAATCTTTCTCCGTGCACCAGAAGCACCAGCGAACTCACACCTCAACACTGCAAGAAGCTAGAGAGATGATGAAATTCGTTTCTGGGTACCTTCAAGGCACTGTTCAATCAGTGCAGACATTACTGGGCAACAGCAAGGAGACCAATGGACCTGAAGGAACTGTTGCAAGCAAGACAACCAGGTCTGTTAACATGATAAATCAGGGACTGGCAAGGTTACAGAGCAACATCACAAAAATAAATCCAGCACTTACAGTTAACCCTGAAGCTCTCCTCACCACAAAAGTCAAGAACCTCCACGCAGTTTCCCATTTCAAACATCCAACATGTATGCAGTTACACTACGCCAGGGATTTTGGGACTACAGCCCTGTAATCAGCAAAAAGAATGATGCAGTGGTCCGCTTTTTACTTCACACACTCAACATCGTATTATCCTGTACCCTCGACACAAATTTACCTTCAAGATTTTCCAAGGATGATGCAACAAAACCTGCCAGTCATGAGTTCAGCTGACCAAGATCTGATGAGAAACTGGGCAAACACACATGGTAAGTGTGTTAGACAACGCACTGTCTGACAAGAAATCACCAAGTATAAGGCTGGTACTCTCCCTCTGAACCTGTATCAGACTGCTGTCCACCAGGGAGAACGGCTTGAGTTTGCACCAGTTGAAAGAGTAGAACAACCTAAATTTTCAAAGCAAGAGGGAAGAGAAGGCGCACCTACATTGAGGGACCCAGGAGATGATCAGCTCTCCGAATACGATGACCACTCCTCCGACAACGACTCTGATGATTTTGCAGTGGAGGAAGATGGTGCCATTTGTGATATGCAGAACGAGGAACTCAGTTTCCTTTTTGTATCGTGCAGAATGCGAAGTGGACGGATAGTGAAAACAATTAACAAGGCTTTGCTTTGGACATAATTTTTCAAAATGTAACAGTATGTAACTTTTGTTTAAAGAAAAACGTTCTTCTTTTTTCCGTGAAGCGTGAAATGCCTGTTTAATTTTTTGTGAATTGTGAAAAGACCATTTTATTTTCCGTGAAATGTGATCTAGACCCCCCCCCCCC